AACAAATTGCTTTCCCATCACATCCTTGCCTGCTGTCAAATATATTATTGCAAAATTAATAGTATTATATATAAAATTGCGAACGGCTATTTAGACCTGCTGAAAGCTCGATCAATTCACCTCCATGATATTTTCGTATGCGTAGCGCATAATGTGCAGATCTCTCTAAATCACTAGTAACACCGCTAAAAAAATCCATATACTGGCTCGTCAAAATCCGCCCATTCTCTAGCAACTTTTATTTATTATTTTCACTTAGGTTCACCAATTTTTTCTAAATGTACAAAGCACTGGCAGTTTAAGATGGCAAATAAAGAGACAGGAATTGAAAACAATGAAAAGCAGGCAAAACTGCTAACAGTTCCAGATACTTCACTTCCGGCTTATTACGTCGAGGAGAAAATGCAGGAATATTTTAAAACTCTATCTCAATTCGGACCAAACCTAGAGATGTCACACATAGGAATCGGACAGGTATACTTTATGTTCTGCATAAAACATCTCTCATATATAAAGTTTTTTGGTATTTTTGCATTTTAGTGGCAAAGATCTGCATAAAATTTGTGGAGAAAAAGTCAATAAAGTTAAACCCCTTTAAGTTATCTTCCGCTTCAAACTGCTTAAAAAGCTGGACCTTTTTTCCATTAGTACACCCGGGCATATCTTTTGTGCCATAACTTGAATGTGCTATAAACTAAAAATATGAAACATGCAGCAGCTAGGCAGAAGCATATCACCATGAGGGCTTTGACGAAAACAAATTACAAACCCGGAAATTTGATTGTTTGCCCATTATTTAGGGATTTCTCTCCGTGGTAGCTAGAATAATCCCAGACTGGACACCGTCAGACCCAAATCTTCCAAAAAGTTTTATTGCCAAAGTCTCCAGTCTCGAAAGCAGTAAGCAACTAATGGAGGACGATGAGATGGCTAAAGCTATTAAAAGAACTTCAATAAATGTTCAGGAAATCCTGCAACAAATGGAAAAAAATCGTGCTCAGGTCAGCAAAGAACATCTTTACTTTTCTACTTTTCCTCATTTCATTACGCTATATTTTACCTGTTTTACCCTTTCATCTACATAAGTTTTTTGTGTTATTTTTACAGGCGCATAATACTGAAGTGGCATTCTATAGGTTGGCTAAGAAGTATGAACTCAATCTAAAAATGCCAGAAATATATTTTGCTCAAGAACTGTCGCCTATATCTGACTGTGGACTACTGTTTATGGAAGATGCTGGCGAAACATCTTATGTTATTCCTCCTTATGAAAAAACTTCAGTCAGCGAAGTCAAGCAGGTAATCTTAATATGCGTTTACGCCAATGAAGATCTTTGAGGTATCGATTGAGAAAAGAACTTTATTACCGTTGGCAAATGACAGATTAAAAAACTTCTTTGCTACAATGTCTTAAACCAATAAGACTACCACTGTTCCAAGTTCAGGTCCTACAGGAAATAGCCAAGTTTCACTCATATTCTCTGAAACATCCTGAAGTAATAAAAATGAAAGGATTCACTCTTAGCAAAATGTATAACCGAATGAACTTAAATAGGGTAATATTTCATTTCGAACTCAACTTTCACTTCCGTACACGTGATAATTCTGTTTTATAACTACTGCACAACACATACCTACTTTTTTATGCCAGTTCACCAATAAATCGCTACTAAATCTTTCCATAAAATTACAGATGCTTGACGTTTTCGTAAAATCAGTGCCAGATCGTAGCGATCCCAATGTTGATTCACTTTGCGAAAATATCTCACAACATAGTCAACAGATAATAAATGACGACTTCCTAAACACGCTTAACGAAACCAATGGTATGTAATGACTAAAATCAGAACCAAATTTCTACTTCAATTGGATAATTTTGTATTAAAAATGTAGCTGTTGTATAGGTATGCCTCCAGTATTGGTACACGGCGATCTATGGTCATTCAATATATTATGGTATAGTGAGAAAAATGAAAAAAAGATTAGATTTATTATCGACTGGCAGGTAACCTTGAAGCTCATTAATTACCACATAACTGACAAATTCGATGAAAGTGCTAAGTACTGCTTGGCGCAATTCCAATAAAGCTGCTATTCTTAACTGTGACGATGTTTCTGTAAATTGACCAAGTGCGTTTGCTTTACAAAGCTTTTGAAAACATATTCTAAGAATGCAGTCAGCTTCAAACGAAAAGCGGAAACCAAATCCTGTATTTCCTTTTTTGCTGCAGTTAGTTCATTGTGGCTGCATTGTGGAAGACATTGTGCGCTATATTGCCTGCGCAATGAGTGTAACGGAGCGTCGCCAATTTTTTGACCAACTGTTACAGTATTATTACGAAGAGCTGGAAAAATCATTCGGAGATCGCCTGTCATTTACGTGCGAGCAGGTAGGTACTACTCTCAGTAATATTGTTTTGCGACATTATAGCTTAGCTGTTGTTCCTCTGTAACCAGATTGATGAAATGAAGAAAAAATTGGCAGATATTGTAAGAAAAAGTTATTTTTTTTTTCTTTGAATATTTGTAATCAGAAGAAAAAATTTCTAATTTGCAGCTAAAGCAATCAGCAATCCGCATGATTCCGCTTGCGACATCACTGGTGCTAAACTTGTTTGGAGCGCTAAGTACAGTACAGATCCAGAAGAAATGTCCAGATCGTGAAAAAGAACTTACAGATTACGTCAGAAAAAATGCACTTGGCCTTCTCGAAGACATGTGGCATTATTTTCAAATAAACCAGAAACTATAGTTACAGCAATTGTGTTTTGTTTTCTTCTTCAGGTAAAAACCAAAAAAACACAAACAATAGGTTATCGCATGAGAAAAGATCAGGTTTACGGTAAGTTCAAGTTCCTGACTGAGATGAAAAAGTTGTTGTTTCTACATTTTTCAGCAGTGAAAACTGCAGAATTTTGAATAGTTGTAACACGTTTAGAGCGGGAAATATGCAGAAAAAAACAGATATTTAATTAAGGCTTTAATGTAAATGACAGGTTTTTTGATCAGTTAGGACTAAGAAGGTGTCTTCTGTGAAAATTTGATGTGATGCGAATTATACCACTAAAAAATGCTGTATCTGAGATGGCTTCTGGAGAAATTTAACATTGTCGTTTAGCCGTAATGTAAAGATTTTAGATGATTATTTTTAACGGATCGCATCTGTCTGTTGTCAGCAACAATTTGTGAATCTTTTGAAGAACTCAAGAAGTATTTGTTTTTTAAACAAAGGGTTTAAGTTTAGATATATCTGTTGAGCTAATAAACGCAAATGCTGATAATCCACTTTCGCGTTTAATTTATTGTAAGCAGTTTAGTGTGGTAAAAGAAAAAGCTATTTTGAGCAGACGGAATTTAAGAGGTCAAGTGTAAGTTTTGAAACTGTTTGACAGATGTTTGTGGTATCTATAGTAGAGAATCTTTTTGAGATGTCTCAGTGGTGGAAATAAAAAAAGACATTTCTACAACAGATGTAAAAGTAAAATTGTAGAGGGAGACGAATCTGCAGATTTTGTGATTTTGTCACACAACAACTGCATCTCAAACAATCCTGTCAATGAGTAAATGAACATACTGAGAAAGAGTCTATTAAAATACTTGTCAAGTCTGATAGCAGTGGTATACCCATCTTTTCTGTTAAGGAAGCAATTGTATAAATGTAAGTCGACAATTGAATAAAAAAAGTTTCGTTCTCTAAATCAGAGTGAAAGCTGTCGCTTTGCTTTCCAAATCGGCATGTAGAAATCTTTTATAGATGTCAAGATTAAATAAAAAAGGTTGAATATTAAACTGCTTCGCAAGCCTGATGCCTTCTATTTTTGCTTGGGAATTCAACTTTAGGTAATACAAAAAACCTTCAGTTTCTTAGCAGTCGTTCTTCCCGCAGAATTTTAATTATTCTGCATTGTGCTCCTAAAAATACCTTGCCTTTTGCAGCGATGGCTGGTTATCAAAAAGCGTTAATTATTGAATCGAATGAATTTCAATTTATTAATCTTTTCAACTACAACTCCAATAAGAATGCTGTTTGACTATTTAGTTGACTTAAAATTACGGCTATGATATACATAAAACTTTTAAAATTATAGTATTTTATAATTGAAAAAAGACTGTAATAAGCAGAGTTAAAAATAAATAAAAAACGAAGTAGAAAAATATAAGCAATAAACTTTTGAAAAATTTATCACAGGCTTTTTTTTTATATGTCTTATTGAACCGAGGGCATTCAAAAATTGTGGCTTACAGAGAGGGGGAACTCGGAAGACCAATCTAGTAAAATGTGCTTATCAAATATGCAAATATCTACAAACTTTTCGGGGTGTGCACAGCGGAATTATTGTATTACTTATTTGCTTTTCAAATTAATATTTTCATTAGTGTTTTTACTGTTTAAATTAAACTTCAGCTCTTTTTGCGACAAATCAGTTTCATAGAATAAATTTAAAAACCGTTAATATTATGTGTTCTTTTAAAGCTTCAAACATTTTCTTGCGCTTTGAAATATGCCTTAAATGTGAATTAACAAAAAACTTGATAATTATATTTTAGTTGCTTGTTTTTATTGCTACTGCTGTTTTTTTTTTTTTGAATTTTGAAAAGACACTTTTTGAATCTCATTTTTCTTTTGTTAATTCCTTCCTGATGCAACAAACCAAAAAAACGTGTTCTTCAACCTCCTCTCTGCCGATTGAGTAGTAGCAAGTTATTTTAAACAGTGTCATTGAAAATGAGTTCAAAATGCGGAAAAATGTGAACAGTGCGATATAATTTGAGATGCACTGAAAACATCTGAAAAAGCGTCACATGGTAGACGACTTTAAGTCTCTGATGAAATAAACTTATAATTTTAACTGATTTTTTAGACTACTATTTCATCAAGCTGATTCTCTGAAATGCTCACACTTACCAAATAGTCTGTAAAAAAACAATGCACTGTAGACTCGCTTAGACTGTTCAGGAAAAGTTTTTTGCGAATGTTGTTTGCTGACGTTATAGATTGTATCGTATGAGTTTTTGAAGATAAATATGGAACAACAAATTGTATGTACCATTTCGTGAAACAGTAAAAAAAAGAAGGTAAAAAACAACATGAAGTTAAAGTTAAAAAGATGTGAGAGCGATAACACAGTGGAATCACAAACTCTAAAAGTGTATTAAAAAGTGCTGTTGTATTCTTTTTCGTTTTACATAATCCTCATAAAGTAATTTCTTTTTCGATGCTGACTACACTCTGCACTGTCAAACTACAAATACCTCAACATTATTGATAAACAAATTTGTACTCGTTTACAAAATCAAGATATATAACAGAACATAGTCGCGCCTGTAAAGCAGTACCGGCCAGGACTACACTTCAGAACATCTTTTTACTCGTTTTACTCTACTGCACTTACTACTGAGCTTTACTTTTCAGAAGCAACTGAACTCTCTTCTTAAAAAACGTTTTCTTATGGTAACGCTTCTAAAGCAATTATTTAGGCAAAATAATTTGCACAAATCGTTTTGTTTCAAAAAGATTGACTTATTCATTTAGCTGTCAAAAAAAGATTTGATTGCATATTTCTGATAAAAGAAGATTCTTTCTTTTTTTATTCCCTTGTTATCTAAAATTTAGAATTTTTTTTAACAAGTCTGCCCAAGTGTATAAACCGTATTATTCATCCTTTCTACTAAAATTTAAGTACGAAGGTGACCATAAAAACTAAAATAGCTTTATTAATCCAAACGGCTAGGAAAACAATCAGTGATATTGCAGTTACTTTGAGAGTGTTTACTGGTACTGCTGAAACTTTAAAAAACTTATTAATATCTTCAGACAAAGAATGTTTTTTAACAAAAAGTAATGTACTTCTGTACTTCTGATAAATCATAATCTATAAATCTTGTGAAAATCGTAGAACGTATGACGGTAAATTTTAAAATAGCTGTTTAGACAAATTCCAATAAAGTTTAAAATTTCTTAACAGCGAAAATTCCTACCGTTTCAGAAGAAAAGAGCACAGTCTGACAAAAGTGAACTTAACGGTGCACAACTATGTCACAAAAGTTTACCAAAAACCAGTTTCATAAACGACCAATTTCTCTTATATGCGTTCCTGATTGTGTAAAACGATAAGCATAGTTTGCAGTTAAAAACTTTATATATATATATATATATATATATATATAT